GAGGATCTTCTTGGTGACCAGGTCGGCTGTCAGATGGGCGAGTTGTGTGTGCAGGGAGGGATGGCAGAATTTTAGAGGAAGGGTTGACAATCAACATCTTGGACAACCAACATCTACACCTTCCATGGTGGTTGGATTAAATGCCGGGGGATGTTCCTGACATTGAGTAGAACTGAAGAAATAGCTTGGGGAAGCTACAAACCATCTTCAGCATTACAGAACAAATCCAGCTGAATGTGACAACTGTAGCTGGCTACACCATGACCTGGATATATAGAACATTCATCTCAGGAAGGGTTCCACTGGTGACAGACAGCACTGCCAGTGGCATCATCTGCAGGTGGCTCTAGAGTCAGGGGTCAGGCTGGTGTGGCCTGGAAGATGCATGGAAGGAAGTCTACTTCCTATCAGAATACAGACAGATAGGATACCAAACTTGTGTTCCACAAGAAGGTCCTGAGGGCCAAATGTGCTGCCAAAAGTTGGACAGCCCTGAGCTATACAATCAATGAGAACCTCCACAGAGGGTTTGAGGAATATTTTATTGCGGTGATGAACCCCATCGTCCTTACCTGTTTTCGTGTATTCCAAGTGTCCAAAATGGGGAGATCTCAGAATGACGTAGACAAGGTCGTCATCGGGGCTGTCGGGATCCGAGGCCTTCAGGGTTCGTGATGTGATCTGGATAACAGATTTCCCATCTTTCAGGTTTTCCACCGTAGACGGTCTCTCCTTGTGCAGAATTTTGGGGGGCATTTTATCCACATGCTCCACCTAACCAGGGCAAAGGGAGAGTCTGTTAGACCTATGCATTGCGGTAATGCACAGAAAACACGTGACCCGAGGTAATGCACAGTTGGTGGTGCCATTCATTGTGAATTTTTATGGTGAGAAAGGATGAGCCATAGGGATTGGTCCAGATATGATTTTTTTTCCCCGTCACATCAAAGGGCCTACTAAGATTTGAGCATCAACGCATTTCACTGCAAAGTGGCCACTTTGTCAGGGCAGATGTAAGGGGCACTTTTCGGGAAAACATGTCTGGCTCGCCTAAAAGTGTTCCATACACCTGTCCTGATGAAGTGGCCACATTGATGCCAGATAATGCGTTGGTGGTATTTTTATACTGTTACCTGACCAATAAATACCTACCTGTTGAAGTGAACCCTCCAAAGCCTCTTCTTTCACCTCTGGCGTCTCTAGTGACCTCACCTTTGTTTTTTCTTTGGGCTAAAGTCTCCACTACATTGCGTAGATTCAATCAAATAGTAAAATACTGTCCAGTACAGGATCCTATGGAATACCCTGATCAGCAATGTGCATGACCACCCGTCAGACTGTACGTGGAGACAGATACAGATATATTCTCCAACGGGTTGTCTCATATTGAATGGGTTTCACAACCTCATAGATAGACATAGACTTAGGAGTTCATTTATAAAGGTTCCGATAGCGTTCACATGGCACTAGCACCCCTAGATGGCGCTGACGAGTATATTCCTATAATTTGTCAGCCTCATCTACGGGGTGCTAGTGCCATGAAAACATTGAATAAATGAACCCCATAGAGTGCATGCATCACATTGGTACCTTTTTTTAAGTATCTCATACCTTCTGATACTAATTGCTAAACTTAAAATGGATCTCCTTCTTCTTATCTGTAAAATATAAATCAAGGCAACTGGACTTGCTGTATTTTTTGTTTTTTTTAGATGTTTCGGACTAGCGTTCTCAATTCAAAAGCTAGTCGGATGACCAGCAAAACGTTTTCAAGAAAAATACAGCAAGTCCAGTTGCCTTGATTTTATTTTTTACAGATATACCATGACCCGGATGAATGAGACATATATCATCTCTTATTCCTCGTCTCCTGATTGTTTTGAGAACTTTTAGATTATTTTTTTTTAGATAGTTTTTTTTCACAGAAAGCCCAAAAAATAAAGGAAAATTAAAGTGATATTAAAGCCTATTTTTTAAAAAATTTCTCCTTCAAGGAGACTCTCCTTTGCTGGAGGCTGTTGCTTTTTTTCTTTAAAAGTTTTTCATTCCTCTTTTTCTAGTGGGTCCCTGAAGCACTCTTCCCCCCGCCCCCTGCACGGGTGCCACCATTGCTCTAATAGAGGCACCGGTGCGCACTCGTGCCCGTTTATTTCTGCAGTGGCTGTGTGCGTCCATAGACACACACAGCCCTGTGGCAGGCCACGCCCCTTCCCTCTTTGATGATTGATGACAGAAGGAGCCTATGACTCCTCTGCCATCAGTATCCTACCCCGCAACCCAAAAGTTCAGGGTACCGAGGATCGCTTCCGGACCGGCGGCGGGGACGAGCGCAGCTGAGTTAAGTCTGGGGGGGACTGAGGTAGAAAAAAGGTGCTGGGATGTTTTTACCATAATGCAGAGAATGCATTAAAGGAGAACTATGGGGTTAAGTCTTTTCCCCATAGTTCTCCTAAGGGTAACGGGAGGACACAAACTAGCGTCCTCCCGTCGCCCTAGGCTCAGTATATAGGGAGCTGCAGCTCGCGGTATACTGAGACGCCGCAGCTGAAGCGGATCCCGACAATTATGTCTGGATCTGCCCAGCTGCGTGAGTGACAGCTGGCTCTGCCTATCTAGAGGCGGAGCCAGCAGTACCCGCCCCCTCCCCATTCCGTTCTGCCAGTCAGCGCTGGCGGATCGGAGTGGGGAGGGGGGAATCCAGCAGAGAAATCTACTGAGCCGGCCTGTGACAGTCTCATTGTCACAGGTCGGCTAGAACTATGAGGTGAGTGAAAAGCACTCACCTCACAGTTCTCCTTTAAGGTAAAAAACGCCCAGACCTTAATACTACAAAACAAAAACAAAAACACAAATACAAAGAATAATAAATGAAATAAATGACCCTAAATACAGGCGCCAGAAAACACAATCTAAATACAAAATAGTAGATTCATATATTTTGTTCACCTACGCGGCAACAATGGTGAAGAAGGAACAACGTTTCGCTGGAAAGGATTTTATAAATCTAAAACAAATTATTATTTTACGGATACAAACCAACCAAAAACAAATCTAGATCAGCCTCCGCTGTTCGTTGAGGAGAACGTTCATTCTGCAAAAAAACAAGAACCGCGAAAACTTTTTTTTTCACCTGTTCATGCAATGTGCACCCCGCGGGACGCCCACCTCCACGCTGCTGTCCAGCTAATTAGCCGCCTCGCTGACTGCGTTCTGTATTTCTGAATTGATGGCTCCCTACCTGACATCTCATGACACGTGATTAGCAAACTAGGCCACAAATTTACCAAATAAGCAGTTTAGGCATTCAGGGCCGTTAACTCTTCGCTGGCCTTGCTCACTGCCACCGGTTCGAGGCTGGGACAGATTTGTACAATCATTTGTTATATTCATTAACTTTTTTTTTAATTGCATTCAATACGAGGCGATTCTAAAAAAAAGGAAAAGGATTCTTGACACTTTTTTTGCACAGATAATTTAGGCAATAGACAAACCCCAGGCTCCGCCCCCCTGATCAGGGAGACTCATGGATTTAAAGTGCTTTTTTTTTTATTGCTACTAGCGGCTTGGTGCCAGATACCACAGCATACCTTCAGAGGTCTAGTGGAGTCCATACCTGGATGGGTTAAGAAAAGGGGGACCTACTAAATATTAGGGGGGGTCATCCAGATACCACAGCATACCTTCAGAGGTCTAGTGGAGTCCATACCTGGATGAGTTAGGAAAAGGGGGACCTACTAAATATTAGGGGGGTCACCCAGATACCACAGCATACCTTCAGAGGTCTAGTGGAGTCCATGCCTGGAAGGGTCAGGAAAAGGGGAACCTACTCAATATTAGGGGGGTCATCCAGATACCACAGCATACCTTCAGAGGTCTAGTGGAGTCCATACCTGGATGGGTTAGGAAAAGGGGAACCTACTCAATGTTAGGGGGGCATCCAGATACCACAGCATACCTCCAGAGGTCTAGTGGAGTCCATGACCTGATGGGTTAGGAAAAGGGCGACCTACTAAATATTAGGGGGGTCATCCAGATACCACAGCATACCTTCAGAGGTCTGGTGGAGTTCATGCATTGACGGGTCAGGAAAAGGGGAACCTACTCAAAATTAGGGCGGCCATCCAGATACCACAGCATACCTTCAGAGGTCTAGTGGAGTCCATGCTTGGACGGGTCAGGAAAAGGGGAACCTACTCAATATTAGGGGGGTCATCCAGATACCACAGCATACCTTCAAAGGTCTAGTGGAGTCCATGACTGGATGGGTCAGGAAAAGGAGGACCTACTAAATATTATGGGGGGGCATCCAGATACCACAGCATACCTTCAGAGGTCAAGTGGAGTCCATGCCTGGACGGGTCAGGAAAAGGGGAACCTACTCAATATTAGGGGGGTGGTCATAATGTTATGGCTGATTGGTGTAAGTTATAGAGCTAATAAGGGGGCGGTGCTGCACTTTTTGCTTCTTCTTCATAGTTTTGTGAGTCGCTCTAATTCATGATACAATTTAATTCGACTTCATTGTGAATAAAATATATCGACCTGCAAGATCTTCAAAGGTATCGGAAGCATTTTTCTTTTAATCCAAAGTTTTTAAGTTGCAGAAACTTTCGACAAAAGATAAAATAAAAGGAAACGACAAACAATAAAAACATAAAAATGCCTATAAAGGGTCACTAAAGTGTGGCAGAATCAGCCAGGCAACGGTTAAGCAGCTGAAGGTTCCTCATCCTCGATGTGGGACTTGTGCTGGTGGGGAGCTGGTTGGACAAATGATTCGGAAACAGCGCTCCCTGAACTTTTGCCAGAACTGTCCCTCCCCTGTGACTCTGAATACAGAATGAGCTGCATGTTAGACATGTCAGTCCTCCATAAGCAGTTTAGTATGCTCAGCGTTTGCGGTACAAGAGGAATATAAAGGAAAAAGTCCATATATTATTTATGCCGGGGAGGGGGGTCAATCCCCAATGCCATGGAAAAAAGATTATCTTTCCGAGGCTGTACAGCTTAAAGGAAAACTCCACATTTTCATCTGTCTGCAGCCCTAAATACGTGTACGGGAGCTGTTTTACCTGCTGAAGGGTTTGGATTTCTGCCCATCCAGTCCTACGGTTTCCACAGCTCTGCCACAAATCATAGACCTATCCATAAGGGCCGCAGACCTGATTTTTCTTTGCTGCAGTTCAGTAACACTTATAGGTCTCCTCCCAACCCCCACCCTGTGACTAAACAGTGAAGGGGAAGCAGCAGGCTCATGAGGGTGCAGAGACCCCAAATTAAATCAATAATTTGGTCAAAAAACTCCATTCCTAAAAGAATGCAAATTTGGGGTTTTTCCTCCAATGCCAAACCTCAGATTTCCAGCCCAGCCGCAGGAGCCTCAGAAAAGGAGCCGAGGCCATAAATCCCGGCTGTTAAAAACATATAATTAGATGTGTCCTGTTCAGTTGGCGCGGCAGTTCATCCGCCGTCCAGTCCCAGAGCCGGACCGATTTACCGCCTGGCCCGGTCACAGCGTCATGTTTGTTCGCGTCCCGCAGACCCCCCCCCAATAGGCTGCCATTGACTTTCAATGTTATTAAGTCTCGCCTGCGTCCCCCGCAAACACCTTGAGAGTGCCATCTGCATCGTTACAGCAAACAGGACCAACGGGGACTGGACAGAGTCTGGATTACTTAGGAACATCGTGTAAGAAAACATCTCCAGACACTAAACAGACACACAGACCGCTGAAAACATGGCTGCCCGTTTAAAGCAGAACTCTGGCCTTCCCTTAAGTCTTCTATCTGACCTCCGTCCTTCCCTTCAGTCTTCTACCTGACCTCCGTCCTTCCCTTCAGTCTTCTATCTGACCTCCGTCCTTCCCTTCAGTCTTCTATCTGACCTCCGTCCT